ACTTGGAGATTTTCGGGGACCATTACGATAACGCTCAGGTAAGGTCCCCTTCGGCGTATATGTACACTGGAATGAATATGGTGCATAACTATTTCCACATAATTACCGTGAGCTATGATCTGAAAGTAAAATCCATTTGCTTCCGTAAGCCTAAACTGCTATGTAAACCCACCTCAACGGAAACCCGACCGTCATCAGTCTTGTAACTGCTCACTCCATCTACGAATGATATTGGCAGCGTCTCTTCATCTGAAGCAGCCTCATAATGAAGCGATCGAGTGCAATTGTGACTGCGAATCAGCACGGTAATCTAAATTTGTGATTTATTCGTTTGAATTTGCAACTGTCATGAATTATGCCAAAGGAGATCACCTTGTTAACCGCTGTTGTATGCGGCTCGTTTCGGATGTTCGCATTCGTCACTTGCACCAAAAAGTGCCTACAGAAAAACTTCTTCTGTAGGGATCTAGCACAATGATTATGGCCTTTTACCGATTATCGACCAGGGGCCGAGCTCCCTCTTCTGTGCAGGACTGCGTTGTACCATCAAATCGTTGCAAATGTGGATCGCCAAATAGGGAGCACATTCGCATTCTCGATCGGGGTGGCTTTGGCAGATGATTGCATCTAATTGAGCAATTAGTTTTGATCAGCGGTATGTGCGGCTTTTTGACTTCTTTGTAGCTTCAAATTGAAGTTGTGGATAATATGCAAATGACTCCTTAGCAGGCTGGTATAAATTCGTAAAAATTGTTGATATCTCTCAAAAAAGTAATTCTCGTTTTAATACAAAGGAATTTTCACAAATATGTGCTGTATTAATCATTGGGTAGTTGCCACTAGTTGCCACTTGTTCTAGAAGTCGACACTAGTTGTCAGCCCAGGTAAAATCAACTTGGAGATTCTCTGCTTTAAGACGGTTGATTTATTTTGCAAAGTCTTCACACTGTGTGAGAACAGCAATATAGCCTGCTCATGTGGCAAAATTTCTAGTCATTACTACGGAGGAAAGCTCTGCAATGGCAAAAAGGGTGCGTTTCTCTTCCACGCTAAGATTAGGTTATAAGCCTGACTGTAGCTCTCATTGGCTTACAGCGCTGTAGGCAAGGACTCAAAGAGGGTGTGAGTCCTCCATTATCCATCCGTTGCTCGCCTCTCTCGCCAACCAATCACTGAACAGTTAGCCTAAGCTCGACCAATCATAAGTGAGAGCGGACGACAAAGCCTTATAGAAGAATTATATTTCATTCAAGGATATCCTAAAAATGCCAAATATCCTCGACTTGCACCGTTACTTTATACGTTGAACCTTATTGTGATAACCATTCGTAAACTTGTAGCAAAGTTACGAGAAGTGAGTAACCGCAGCGCTAAACCATTTTCGACTGTATTGCCATCTTACTGTAATGAAAAGAGGTAAAAAATCCTTTAAATTTAGAAACTTAGGTTCAAGCTAACTCTTTAAAAAGAATGACTAAGGCCTAGAGAGGATTTGTAAAAGAAAGAGTTACTGGTAATCTGATATGGGGGACTTTTTAGGGGAATTTCATTGTCGACCTAAGGAGTCAGCTACTGGCTGCCACAT